GCCTGTACAAAGGCCTGTTCCTCACCAGTACCTCACCACCGCCTCACCAGCACCTCACCATCGCCTCACCAGCGCCTCACCAACACCTCACCAGCACCTCACCAGCGCCTCACCAGCGCCTCACCAGCACCTCACCATCGCCTCACCAGCGCCTCACCAGCACCTCACCAGCACCTCACCATTGCCTCACCATTGCCTCACCAGCACCTCACCAGCACCTCACCAGTACCTCACCAGCACCTCACCAGCACCTCACCAGCACCTCACCAGCGCCTCACCAGCACCTCACCATCGCCTCACCAGCGCCTCACCAGCACCTCACCAGCACCTCACCAGCACCTCACCAGCGCCTCACCAGCACCTCACCAGCGCCTCACCAGTGCCTCAGCAGTGTCTTGCCAGCGCCTCACCAGTCCCTCACCAGTGCCTCACCAGTCCCTCACCAGTCCCTCACCAGCGCCTTGTGCTCTGGTGTTACTCAGTTATCAGTCACTTTCTGTTCATTGCACGAATATTTCTGATTCCACAGAATGAGGGATGCAGAGCACACAGAGCCCATGTCCTACCCTGGGTTGGTGTCCCAGGTGTCCCAGGCTGTTCCTGGGCCACTGGGCTCTGCTCAGTGTCACACAAGTGTGGGTGTGAAGGTGCCACTGTCAGACAGTGAGGAAGGAGTATCTGTTCTCTGAAAGATAAATGAGAGAGAAATGAGATAAACAACCACAGTAGGATCTGGTGTGAGGGTGAAGATCTGTATGCAGGGCAAAAGTAGCTGGGACAGACAATTATGTCTGGAGAGGAATTGGATATAAGGGTTGGCTGACAGTGCTGGGCTGGAGCAGGGATAAACTTCAAAAAGCAGGAGAAACTGGGTAAGAAAGAGAAAGAGTGACAAAGCAACCAGGAAACTGTGAAAGCAGTAGGGGCTGGAACAGGGAGGTCCCGAGACAGGTCAGGGGTAGCCAATCACTTTGCACTTTGGCTTTTGTCACAAAGCAGTGCCTGGGCGTTGTGTCCCAGAAGGGACACATGTGGGCTTTGATTGTCTGTTGTGCCCTGTGCAGAAAAAAGGGATGGAGGTACCTGCTCTTTGTCCCTCCTATTACAGCACTTGTTTCTCCAGCTCTGCCACGTCCCTTTGACTTCTATTCTATGTGTGGGCATGGGCTAAGCTCTGTTCATAAGGACCTGTTTCCTACTCCTGGTTGCCTTCGTGCACCATCTCTGGTCCCACCAGGCTTTTTTACAAGAGAAATATTGCTGCACCACAGAACTTCACACTGTGGCAGGGGACTGTTGCAAAGTGTTTTCCTAAATCTGGAAAACAGATTTTCCAGTTACGTGTGTCTGTGTGTGTGTGTGTCCATGTGTGTGGGTCTCTGTGTGTGTCTCTGTGTCTCTCTGTGTCTCCATGTGTATGTGTCTGTGCGTGTCTGTGCGTGTCTGTTCATGTCTGTGTGTGTGCATGTGTCTCTGTCTGTGTGTGTCTCTGTCTCTGTGTCCATGTCTCTGTCTGTGTGTGCGTCTGTCTGTCTCTGTGTGTGTGTCTCCGTGTCTCTGTCTGTGTGTCTCTGTGTGTGCGTCTCCATGTCTGTCTGTGAGTTACTGAGGAAATCCCAAGCCCTCGCTGTGCGAGCACATTTGGGCTCATTCTTCCCTCGGGATATTTTTCCACAGGGATGTTTGGGGGGTGGGTGCTGACAGCCCCACGGGGGCCCGCGGCTCCGCTCGATGCCCGGGATGTCGTTGGCGGCCCTCGGGGCGGGCCCGGGAGGGGCGGGGCGGGAGGGGAGTGGACTCCATTTCCCAGGGACTCCATTTCCCAGGGACTCCATTTCCCAGGGACTCCGTTTCCCAGGGACTCCGTTTCCCAGGGACACCCGCGGGGGGCGGTGCGGCCCCGGGCGCAGGCCGGGAGCGGCTCCGGGAGCGGCACCGGGAGCGGCTCCGGGAGCGGCTCCAGGCCCGGGCGGCGGCGCGGGAGGAGCGGAGCGGGGGCGCAGCCGCCGCGGGAGCGCGGCCGCCGCTCGGCGCAGCCCGGCCCGGCCCCCGCACATCCGGGCGCTCCCGCAGGCCCGTCCCGGGCGGTCCCGGGCGGCTCGGCCCGGCGGCCCGGCCCGGCCCGGCGCGATGCTGCGCTGCATGCCGCCGCTCTGGCGCTGCAACCGGCACGTGGAGGCGCTGGACCGGCGGCACTGCTCGCTGCAGGCCGTGCCCGAGGAGATCTATCGCTACAGCCGCTCGCTCGAGGAGCTGCTGCTGGACGCCAACCAGCTCCGCGAGCTGCCCAAGGTGAGCCCGCGGACCGGCACCGCCATCCCGCGGCCCTCGGAGCGCGGCTCGGCCCGCCGGGACCGCCCCGGCCCGCCGCGGCCGCTCGGGCGCTGCCCCGGCCTGCGCGGCCCCGCTCCCGGGGCGGCCTCCACCGAGCCCGGCGTCTTCCCCTTGCTCTGGGGGCCGGGCCGGGGGTCGCGGGTGGGATCGTGCGCCCCGCGAGCACCGGCGGCCGTGGGTGCGGTGCGGCCACCCCGGGCCGGGAACCCCCCGGCTGTGACCGGGGGAGAGAATGAGGGAGAGAGCCTCCGACTGTGATGGGGAGCCCCTGGCTGAGGAGAAACCCTCGAGCTGTGATGGGGAGCCCCTGGCTTCGACAGGGTCCTTGGCTGTCCGGTGAGTGGGACAAAGGGGTCTCCTTACCCCAGGGGGAATCGTCGTCCCTGTGTGTCACAGTCACTGCCAACCAAAGCACAGCGTGAATTTTAGGTCTGGTTTAATCCATGAATTTCAAAAAGTGTCAAGTAAGATCATTAAAAGTGCTAGAACTGCTTTATAGTTATGATCATTGGGCCACTGAGGTGCTCCAAGGGCTGAAGCCTCTCTACTCTGGAGACAGGCTGGGAGAGCTGGGGGTGTGCAGCTTGGAGAAGGCTCTGGGGAGACCTTAGAACCACTTCTACTGCTTAAAGGGGCTCCAGGAGGGTTGGAGAGGGTTTGGACAAGGTCCTGGAGTGACAGGACAAGGGAGAATGGCTTCCCACTGCAATATTGGGAAGGAATCATTCCCTGTGAGGGTGGGGAGGCCCTTGCACAGGTTTCCCAGAGAAGCTGTGGCTGCCCCATCCCTGGAAGCCTTCCAGGCCAGGTTGGACAGGGCTCGGAGCAACCTGGTCTAGTGGAAGGTGTCCCTGGCCATGGATGAGTTTTAAAGGTCCCTTCCCATCTGAAACCATTCCATGATCTGGGACTCCAGCCTGTACTTGCAGCTTCTGCTGCTGTTCTGTTCAGCTGCAGAGCTCTGTCCACACAGGGCACACCGGGATAAGCCCTCCATGTGCTGCCCTGCACCTCCGTGGTCTCTGCAGAAGCAGAGGACCAGAGATCTGCTTGTCTGCTGGCCCAGTCCGGTGTCTCTGACTCCCAAGGCTTTGCTTTCACAGGGCAGGGGCTGGGCATGGGCTGAGCTCTCGTGTTTGGCTGCCAGTGTGCCATCCAGCAGGAGCCCAAGCCATGACATCCCTGTTCTGTTGGGTAATTTGAAGCATGGGATGCTGTGGGCGGGAATTCGAACTTGCTTCTCAGGAAGCAAAAGGCCTTAAAACAGTACTGGGCTTTGGGATATTCCAAAGCAGGTTTTGCCATGTATCTCCTGTGGAAACTGTACCATTTTTAAAAAGTTAGTTAAGTACTACTGGTGCCAGAGAGACAAGTGGTTTGACTGCTGTGTGTTTGGAGAGATGCTCCTCAGGGAATATGGGCTGAGTTGCCAGTTTATTGAAAAATTGAGAAATAGGTCATTAGCTTTTGAGTTTTTCATTGCATTACTGACATGTTATGGAATATGCCATCAAATCTGGGAAAAAAATCCCTTAGAAAACAAGAACTTGATTTTAATTCAGGCCAAAATAATTTGGTTCAGTTTTGTTAAAATATACAGTGTGCACATCCCCACCCAAACAGATTCTCTCGTATGAAATGGCAGGTTCTTGCTCTGATATTTTTGGGTTCTCTCTGTCTTTCCCCTGAATCCCTGTGAGCTGAGCTGCCTGTGGGATTCGGTTGTGATGTTGTTCAGGTATGGAGACACCGGTGTGATGTTCTCAGCTCCTTTGGGAGGTAGCTCGGTATCTTGTTATATTTTAGACAGGGAGATTTCCCTGGAAAATGTGTGTTCTGGGCAGGTTGGGACGTGGGAATAGGTGTAAGTCCCATCTGCAGAGGAGGGTGATTGCGACACGCCTGCAGACAACCTGCCAGTCCCTGCGCTCTTGGCTCTGTGTGTCCCGCTGAACAGTCACAGCCCAGCCTAGTGCTGCACCGAGCCCCTTGGGACTGGGACAAGCTGGGGTTTGTGAGCTTGGAAGAACATCTTTTGGATTATAAATGCAAATTTTATACTGACATTTTATTTAGCCTGTGATCAGGTGCATACAATGCTGCCTGTGATCGAGGTGCCGTGTGTGTGCCCTGAGCACTTTCCTGAGTCACCCCAAGTGTTTGTTTCACTCAGCTGTGACTGTTCAACTTGAGCATTGGAGCTCTTGCTGTGACCTGTCCTGGGCTTACAGGCTCCTCTCTGTTGTTTGACTTCCTCTTTTAGACTCTCTGGCAGAGAGTTATTAGAAGAACAAAGAGAACAGACTGGTCAGATCCTGGTCCTCAAGTCTCAGGAGATTTAGTAAATCAGGAGAGGGACAGAGAATGAGGAGCAGCAAACGGTGTGACCAGACCCGATATGCAGCAGCTTTTGTACAAGGAAAATGAACATTTTCAGGACATCTTAGTCTGTCTGGAAAAGGTAGTAAAAGGTAGAGACATTCCTCATCTGATGGCAGAGGTCTGGAGTGCCACCAATGGCCCAGAGAGAATGGCCAGGGAGCAGCTGACCACTGCTGCTTCTTGCAGCAGGCCTGGAGGGCATCGAGTGAAATCAAAAAGGGCTCAGTTCAGAGCAAATTAAATTGCATTTTGCATGAAAAATTATTTAACCGAGCTGTGGAACCACTTGCCATATGACATAGTGGTCATCTAAGTTAACGTGAGCTCAGGAGAGAAGTAGAGCAGTTCATGTAGAAGATGACCAAAAATGAGGATCTGCAGAGATACCGTAGTGCCTGTACTGCGTGTCCCGGGAGAGGCTTGGAGGGAGTTTGGCTTTGGACTCTCTGTGCTCATACTCTTCCCTCTCGAGCGCCGTCTGAAGCTGCCGTGGACTTTCTCCGGTTGTGCTGGGTGTCAGCCCAACCCCAGTGAAACCTAAACGCCCTCACAAGCCAGGTGAGTGTTAGGTGCCTGCAGCTGGGGACAGGAGGGGAGACAAGCAGAGCAGCCCTGAGTGCTGCTGCTCCTGAGAAGAGCTGGGGGAATGCTGCCCGGAAGCGCTGAGCCCTGGAGACACGTTGGCAGAGGGAGCAGAATCCCACCCCATGGTCTTTCCCTTTTCCACCCCCCCAGGTTCCCTCTGGCTGTGCCATGGCTGGTCCAGAGGCAGGTGAGGAGGAGGAGGAGGTCTGCAGTTGGTGGAATGAGGAAGCAGGTTTGATCCAGCTGAGGTTGGACCCCGTGTGTGTCCTGGTGGTTTGTGCTCATGGCACTTCACTGAGAGTGCCGAGGTGCGTTTGGTCCCAGGCGTGCGGATTGCTGCGGGAAGGGCGTTGTTCGAGGATATTGCTGTGGGTAGGGACAGATACCCGAGGCAGGAGTAGGAATCTGTGTGGTGCAAGGTGGATATGGGATGAAAATGAGAGAGGGAAGGTGGGAACACTGGGTTTGGGCACACATACACCCTGAGGGAGGATGATGGGAGAGGTCTTTGGTTGGGTCGGGTGGACATTTTCCAGGTGAGGAGCCTTCATGGAAACAAGCCTTTTGTGGGAAAGAGAGCCTGGGAGGAAGGGTTTGTGCTTACCATGAGGCAAGGTGGGGAAAGGGCAGTATGGTTGCTTCACAGGATGGGGCTGCACGTGTCTGTTCCGTGGGAGAAGGTTTAAAGGACACTGAGATGAGTCTGTGGGAGAAGCAAGTGGAGATCTGTCAGAAAAACAGGAACAAAAGAGGATGTACAGCCTTGGACAGCAAGTTTATGTTTGAGGGCTCAAGAAGGGCCTTTGGGAAAGGCCTCCCTGTGGAGGTAATTTTTGAGGCAAAAGGATGGAGGGATGGCTTTTGGAAAGGTCAGACAACTCCCTTGAAAATGCCTGACTCTATCCAGCTCCCCTTCTGAGGGGTTTCTTACCCAGTGCCTGCTGCCAGCCCGCATCTCTCCAACAGGCTTTTATGTGTCCTTATCCCACCTGTTCCAGAAACACGGGATCTCTTGCTCTTTCTGTGGCACCATTCTCCTCTGCAGGATTTCCCTAGTCCCCTTTGTGCTGCTGCTTTGCTCTGGATCCAGTGGGATGCTTGCCCTTCCCGTGGCACTGCCGAGTGACACCACTGCACTTTCCTCACCTCTCCCTTCCCAGCCGGAGAAGTGAACCTGTGTTTCTCTCCGTCCTTCAGTGCTGGATACTGTTCTGCCTGCTCTCGCTTCTTTTTCACTTGTCCCATGTGGAATCTTGCCTATTTTGAGCCCAGATTTTATCTTAGAGTGGTTTTCCTTGGGATATTTGAAGTGATACATTAAATCTGCGTGGGAGCATCTGCTGCCCTTCGCAGGGATTTGCTGCCAGGGTGGTACCACATGACTTAATGGAAAACAATAAATTCCCTTTGGTAAGTTGCCTGTGTTCTTCACAAGAGTGTCTGAATTCCGGAGGTGGAAATGCCTTGCCCTGTGCTGACTTCTACCCTACTTGTCTTGCACAGAGCCATGTCTGCAGCAGTGGGGTGGAGAGCAGGTCCCTCACTGGGGGTGTAGGTTTTTGGGAATACAGCAGGCTAAATCATTGCATCGGTACTGCCTCTCTCTGGGCCTTCCTTGGCCCTGGTTTGGTAGGAAGTCAGTGGTGGAAGCACCTGCTCGGTCTTCCCTGGGTTGTTTTAAACCTCTTGGTACATCTCTGTCAGGTGGTTAGCACCTGCCCTGTCTGTGGGCACATCGCTGCCAGCTTGGACCGGGTTTGCTCTTTTGGGGTTCCTCCTGTTCCTCGGCGACAGTTCCCTGTGCCGGTTCCCCGTCCCTGGCTGGCGTTTCCGATGCAGCCTGTGAAGCCTGAGCGCGGCATCGCAGAGGCCTTGCCTGCACCTCTCGCATCTCTCTGGTTCCCTTTGGCTGCTGCCGAGTGTCTGCCAGGAATGATTTAGTTCATTGATGGTTGGAGATAGAGGCAGGGCTGGATTAACCTCTTCAGGTC